ATTAAACTTGCCAAGTTTGATGTAGTGTCCAGGGTCATGCCATCATCATTTGAGACCTTCCCAACTGGCTTCCAACAAAGTCAATGGAGGAACATGGGTTTGCTTAATGATTACACCATTTAACCGTGGTTTGCTTAAAACTTAAATCACAGTTAAAGCTGCTTAACTGTGGTAGAAAAGGCCATACAGTTGGGTGCAGACCCACTTAACGACCACTTTGCTTAGCCACATAAATCCTGATCGTCTCTGGAGCTTCTCCATCATCCAGATCATGGTTGTCCCAAAGGCAACAGGATCAGGGCAAGACAGTTGGCAACGAATCCTGGCTTCTAAGTTAAGTGGTGAAGGCTTCTGACTCTTGAAAAACAGCCTCCAATCTCTGTAACAGTGTGTGGTTTTGCACATTGTTGGGTGTGATATGCATTCATCCGATTCCTTCTCTGTTTTTTAGGAAACAAGATTGTGTACCTTAACCAGAGATTCTGGGGCTTGGAGGCAAACAAGGGCCAACTTCTTAACATTGTTGTGTTGGAAACCAAAGTGTTGCAAGCTGGAAGAACCTGGCTTGTTTTATTGCCCAACATAAGGATTAAAGGAATGGGCTTCTCAGCCAGGTTGTAGCTTCCTTGCAGTTTAGGAAGGGCAGCAAGCCGTCAAGAATCTTGAATGGAAACCCAGTGTAATATAGGTTTCAAGCCCATAACTCTGAAACTTTGAACTCTAAAACCTAAATTTTGTAATTTTAAACCCCCAAAGAATCTGGGAACGGAAACCGGTCACCTGGATTACAAAAATAAAATAAAAAATAAAAATAAATCAGGAAGAGCACAACTCACTCTGCTCCCATGTCTTGCACGTTTGTTGGGTCCCTAGACTTCTTGTTCCAGAGAAGAATGTAGCTGCTCTTGCTTTGGCCTTGCAGCTAACTGTGGAGCAACCATGTTTGAGGTTGAAGGGAGAAGAAGTATGATGGGGGGATGTAAGGCAAAGAGAAGAGGGGCTCAGCTGAGCTGGTGAGTTCCAAAGATCTTCCGAGGCATCTCAGAAATATCTGGGAGATCTCAAGAGATTTCTGTCCTCAAGATCTGGAAGAAATATCAGTCGAGACAGTGAGGACAATCAACCAGTGGAACAGCTTGCCTTCAGAAGTTGTGGGAGCTCCATCATTCGAGGCTTTGGAGAAGAGACTGGACAGCCATTTGTCTGAAATAGTATAGGGTTTCCTGCCTGAGCATGGGGTTGGACTAGAAGACCTTCAAGTTCCCCCCCAACCCTGTTATTCTGTTACTTTCTCTGCTTTTTGATGCATAGAGGGAAGGACCTCGTGGCATAGAAGACGGTTGCAGGAACTCGGTATGGCTAGTCTACTGAAGAGATGGAAGAGAAGGACTAGGGGAGACAGGATAGCAGTCTTCCAATATATGAGGGGCTGTCAGAGTGGAGGGAGGGTCAAGCTATTTTCCAAGGCACCTGGAGGCCAGACAAGGAATAATGGATGGCAACTGATCAAGGAGAGATTCAGAAATAAGAAATATGGAGAAATTTTCTGACACTGAGAACAACCAACCAATGGAACAAAAGTTGCTTTGGGAAGTTGTGGGAGCTTCCTCAGTGGAAGCTTTCAAGAAGAGACTGAGCTGCCATTTGTCACAAATGCCGTAGGGTCTCCTGCTTGGGCGGGGAGTTGGACTAGATGACCTATAAGGTCCCCTCCCTCAAAATGGTTTCCTCCGGGAAAATATAGAGGCGAGGACCTTTCCAACTCTGTTAATCTGTAATCTTCTCCTTCTCCCCAAACATAGGGCTTTTTCTAGGAACCAGAGTTCCTTGAAGCTTTTATTCTTTTTTTAAGAAAAAAAAATCTCTTCTGCCCTTCCCACTGTAGTGGGAAGATGACATCAGAGCAACGAAATCCAATGAGGAACCAGTTTTGGTCCTCCGGGACCAAAGACTCCTTTCTAACCAAGTGGGAAGAGCCTCGTCAGGCTCCGGATTGGTGCTGACTAATAAAGAGATCCAGGCCCCTCAGTGATTTACAGAGAGCTGGCAAGCCTTTTCTCTTTTCTATGGTGAAATGAAAGGGCTGGGGACCCTCCTTTCCTTAAAGGCAGCAGTTTTGCCATCCCCCAAGCTGTGAAGGAGGACCGGAGGGAAATCTCTAAAGCGGAAAGATCGGGTGGAAGGGATTGTGTGGAAGGTGCTGACCGAGGAGACAAAATCTGTGGTACTTTTTATAACTCTTCTCTTTCCTGTCCAGCCACGACAGTCCAAAGTGGATTTATGCAGCGCAAAGACCTCCGTTTGCTTGTCTTTTCCGCCTAAAATGTGCTGGCCCGCTACTGTTTGCAGACCATATGCCTGTCACTTAAACGCTGGCCTTACCATTTTGGTTCTAACTATCACTATTGGATATCAAAGCTGGACCGATGGAAAAGAGAATTATTTTTATTCAGAGATCTTTGCAGTGGGGGCGACATTTCACCCATGCCAGGAATCTTTAGCTGAGCATCAGCAACTGAGAGAGAAAAAAAAAACTTGCATTGACAAATACTCTTTTGTAAAAGGGCCCAGCAGAGATTATACTACCTGAGACTTCTCAGAAAACAAGTGAATGAAAAGCTGCTAGTGACCTTGTACCGCTGCACTATAGAGAGCATTTTAACTTCCTGCACCTCTGTATGGTTTGCCAATTGCAGAGGGGCAGATAGGACAGCACTCCAGAGGGTTAATGTTATTGCCCAGAGGATCATGGGTTGCCCTCTCTCCTCTTTGGAAGAGCTTTATAGCTCCTGCTGCCCTAAGAAAGTTCAAAGCATCCTTAAAGATAGGAAGCATCTCATCCTGGGCACCCCTTTTTTTTAACTATTACCATCTCGCAGATGGTACAGGATAATAAAAACAAGGACAAATAAGCTGAAAAACAGCTTCTATCCCAGGGCAGTAACTCTATTGAATTCTACTGTACAATGCAATATTATTGCAATATCAGGGGTTTCCCATTCAATTGTATAGAATGCGAAGGAGGTGTGTTTGTCTTTTATTTTTATAGTTATAATGTACACTGAAGATGGCATTTAATTTCATTGTACGAGGTGCAAATGACAATAACGATATGTGTGTTGCCTCTTACTTGTGTTTTTCATGTATTTTTTAAAAGAAAAATCCTGAGTAGCAGTGCCCTAATATCATCAAAGACTAGTTTTTTCTCTTAGCTACAAAAAACGACCGGTTGTTTTTGGCACACGCTTTTGGGAGCTCGAATACAGGATGACTAGATATACCATCAACATTGGCCTATGCAGGCACATTAAATTTATTATTATGGCCGTTAAAGGTTAACCAGATGCTTGAAACTGTCAGTAGGGCTATGATGAGTGCTTGGACGCCAGAAGACCTTGCGAGACTTTGATATCAAAGTAAAATGCAACTTCTGCCCGCCTACCATGGCACTTCCAATACGTGGTCTCATGTGTCAACTATTTGCAGTTATTGGGGTGGGGGCGGGGGCAAGAACAATGTACAAATTTGGTCAACTTCTTCCATAAAACCACCATCTGTTTGGCAGACGATGATAGTAGGGTTGCGTATGAAATGAAAGCTCACTGAAAAATCGACATGAATCTTCAGAAGTTGTGATTGCTCCATCACTGGAGGTTTTTTTTTCTTTAAAAAAAGAAGAGATTGGACAGTCATTTGTTTGGAAGTGTATAGAGCCGTGATGGCGAACCTATGGCATGTGTGTCAGAAGTGTCACGCGAGAGATCACCTGAAGTATGCCCATTGCACATGTGTGCACACCGCCCACCCATCAGCGGATTGTCGGGTATCTGGTGCTCATGCATAGAAGCGTGGAAGTGCGTGGGAGACATGGGCGCATGCACAGAGATGCGCAGGGGGTGTGCACAGAGGTGTGTGGCATAGGCAGGGGGATCGTGCATGCATGCGCAGAGGTGCATGGCTCATAGGGGTGTGTGCACGCAAGCGCAGGGGCTGTGCCTCCTCCCCACGTGCATTGCTTTCTGAGTGGTGGCACATGAGCACGCATGCACAATTTTCGGCATGGGAGCCCCAAAAGATTAGCCACCACTGGTATAGAGTCTCCTGCTTAAGCAGAGGGGTGGACTAGAACAGGGGTCGCCAACCTTTTGGATCTTAGGGACCACCAAATTCATAATTTTAAATCCCGCGGACCAAGAGAGACCCTGAGAAAATCCCCCCGAAAGTCTGCAGGAAAATTCCCCACCCTGTTTTCCTACTGATAGATCCTTCTTTATTTGGGATTTCAGGATACCGTCTCCAGCTCCATTCTCGAGGTGGGGGGGGGGGAGAGACTTTTGGCTTCATGCAAGGAAAGCAGCAGAAGCAGCAGAAGTCTTTCTTTCTCTCCCCCAAACTCCGCCTCTTGGAGCAAGGAGGCCTTGCAGGGTCCCAAAGACTCATTTCTGGCAGAGTTTGGGGGAGAGAAAGAAAGACTTTTGCTGCTTTCCTTGCGTGCAGCCAAAAGCAGAAGAAGAAAGAAGTGGAAAGTAGCAGCCCGGTGGCCAAGCCAGGCACGTGGGTTGATAGGGGCAAGTTCCCCCCCCCTCCGCCCTTTCCCCCCTCCCCTCACTACCTCATGTTGTTCGCAATGCAAGCGACGCAAGCCTTGTGTTCCCGCGTAGCCTGGATTAATTACTTTGGGGGGTGCTTTGGGGGTGATATTTCTCTGAGGACCACCAAATTTTTCTCACAGACCACCGGTGGTCCCTGGCTCACTGTTTGGTGACCACTGGACTAGAAGACCACCAAGGTCCCTTCCAACCTGTTATTCTGTAAGAATGCATACATGAATGAGTCGGGTTCCAGAATCTTCCGCTCCAGACATGCGATCGTCGGCTGGCAGTCTTGAACAAAACCTGGAATTCTAGAATTTGGGTGGGGGGGCGGAGGAGTCTAAATGGACCAACTCCCCATGTAAAGAAACCATTCCCACCGTCGCCTCATTCCTTGTCTTCCTGCAGGTCCAGTCTCTGAAGCAAGTGATGGGAAGGAGCTCCTGGAAGGACAGGACGTGAACATGGCACACCCCAAAGTGGTCCGGAGTGTTGGGGGGCACCGGCACAATGCCTGGCGGAGGTATCGCCGTCCTCGCCCTCGTCTTTCACATAAAGGACCCATGCCTTTCTAGCACAGGTAAGAGAGACGGCGGGATGGAAGAGTGATGGAAGAGGAGGGTGCACACCGGGGACATCAGGCATAGATTAAAGACCAAAAAGGGGACATGGTGGCTCAGCGGCTAAGACGCTGAGTTTGTCGATCAGAAAGCTCTGCAGTTTGGTGGTTCGAATCCCTAGCACCATGTTTTTTTTTCTAGAAGTCTGCTCAGGGGCTAAGACACTGAGCTTGTCGATCAGAAAGTTCAGCGGTTCGAATCCCTAGCGCCATGTAATGGAGTGAGCTCCCGTTACTTGTCCCAGCTTCTGGCAACTTAGCAGTTCAAAAACACGTTAAAAAATGCATGTAGAAAAATAGGGACCCCTTTGGTGGGAAGGTAACAGCGTTCCGTGCACCCTTGGCGTTTAGTCCTGCCGGCCACATGACCATGGAGACGTCTTCGGACAGCGCTGGCTCTTCGGCTTTGCAATGGAGATGAGCACCGCCCCCTAGAGCTGGGAACGACTAGCTTGTGCGCGAGGGGAACCTTTACTTAAAAGGCCATGAAGGAATCCCTGGGTTGTAGGCTGACAAAGGAAGTTCAGGAAACACCGCAGAAGGTGCCATTCCTAAGACAATTCCATAAGGTTGCCAAACATCCTACATGGAAGTGTCCACAGAGATTCTCAATCGTCCAGGTCGTGGTTGTCCCAGACATGTTTTCTTTCAAAAGGCAGCTGGACTTTTGCTAGAAGTTGTTTCACTTCTCATCCCAAAAGCTCCTGACTGAATGGTGGAGAATGGAAGGATGGAAGGGAAAAATCTTCCAACAAAACAAGGAAGTCCAGTTGTCTTTTGAAAGAAAGCATCTCTGGGGCAACCATGACCTGGACCATGAATCTCCATTGACACTTCCGTGTAGGATGTTTTGCAGCCCTATGGATATGTCCTAATAAGGAGACCTTCTGAGATGTTTTTTGAACTTCCGATTTTAGTCTACAACCCAGGGATCCCTTGGTGATCTTTTGGGATCCTGCATGGCAGTATCCATAAAGTCACCCAGAGTTTCACCTGGAGTTGAACGGTGCCTCAAAGAAAGGAAAGGTACTTTTAAGTACCAGCAACGACAGGTGGTTTACGCATCTTGGACTGGCTCCAGTAGAGCAGTATTGTATTATGGCCCTTCCTGCTATCACAGAAAATCAAGCAGGAAGTGAAGCATGTCCTCCCTTTGGGGGCAGGGATGGTCTGCTAGGGGTTTGCAGAGGTTTGGGAGAGCCCAGGGGTGGGATTCAAATTTTTTAGCAACCGGTTTTGTGGGCTTGGCTTGGTGGTCATGTGACTGGCTGGGTGTGGGCCAATTCAACATCACTCACATTGAAGCATGCACCTCCTTGCTTGGCCTCTCACGACTGTGGGGATGCTGCAACAGTCGTAAGTGTGAAAAATGGTCATAAGTCACTTTTTTCAGTGCCATTGTAACTTTGAATGGTCACTCCACACAAGCAAAATACCAGCAAAGGAAGGAAAAACAACTCCAGAAAAGTTCCTGAGACAGGAAGTCTAGTCCTGCCAAGAATGTAATAAGGGTTAAAGGAGAGGCAGTTTCTGTAAGCAACACCAGAATGTTTCCTTCCTGACTTCCTTACAGGTTTAGGCCAGTAATTTCTTCTAACAATCGGTTCTCCGAACTGCTTAGAATGTTAACAACCGGTTCTAGCAAATAGGTGTGAACCTGTAGAATCCCACCCCTAGGAGACCCCCTAGCTAAGATTCTGTACAGTTCGAAGAACCCCCAAATCCCACTTCTGGCTGGCCCCGCCCAACCCTCCCCTCCTCTCCCAGGAGCCCCCACATGGCCCATTCTGGATGCAAGTAAGTGCAGGGCGCACGCGGAGGCTCAGGGATGGTGAAAAACGGGCCTCCTGGAAGTTCAGGAAGGCCAGAAATGGGCCCATTTCCAGCTTCCAGAGAGCCTCTGGAGTCCGGGGAGGCCGTTTTCACCCTCCTGGAGGCTTGACGAAAGCCTCCGGAGCCCGGGGAGGGCAACCCCCCCTCCCCCCGCTGTAGTGCAGGAGACCAACTAGGCCACACCCATCATGGCTATGCCCACTCAGCCACCGGCAAGAGAACCCTTTGCTAAAATTTTTGAAGCCCACTCCTGCTGTGTGGGCTCCCTTTGTAAGACCCCTTGAAGTCATTTGCGAGTAGCAACGGCTGTCCCCTCCGAGGCCTGCTTGCTGATTTGGGTGAGCCTTTTGGATTCCACAGAGATCATTTGCGGTCTTTATTTCTTCATCTCCCTGGAGAAAAGAAGCCGTGGAAGTTGTCTGGAGAAGTTGCCTTCTCCAGACAACCAAGTCATGCCAAGACAAGGGGGTGTGATGGAGATGGCGGCCGGAGGCTTCCAGAAAGGCTTGGAGAGTCTTCAACTTGCTCTTTCTTTGATCTTTGCAGGATGAAGGACTGCCTGGGAATGACCCGCCCTGTTGTGTCCTCTCTGCTTGATCGACTTTGCTTGCGAAGGGCTTCCATCCATGGCAGAGTTTGAACCAGAGCTGCCTGACCCGGGAAGCCCCAAGAGCGGGAGGGAAAGAGCCTGCGGATCCAGCATTTCCACCTTCTATGGTCTCATGGTGCCTCCTGCTCCAGCTGGTGACACTTCTGTGGCTCTCTCTCTCTCTCTCTCTCTCTCTTCCCACCAGCAGGCAAAGCTGAAAAGGATGCAAGGAGGACCCAGAAGGTGGCTCTGAGTGTAGACAGGAAGGAAGGAAGGAAGGAAGGAAGGAAGGAAGGAAGGAAGGAAGGAAAGGAAGGAAAGAAGGAAGGAAGGAAGGAAGGAAGGAAGGAAGGAAGGCGTAGCATCGGCTCTCTGCCTCTTGGCCACGGAAGCTAAGTGGCGGCTGAGAGAACACCCTCATGTCCCCTCCTAGCTGGTTGCAAGGCCTTCTTCCACCAGTGGCGCCCTTGGAGTCCAAGGTCGTTTGGCCAGTGAAAAGCACTTTTGATAGCTCATCAGCAGCCCCTCCCAGGCCCCCCCTGACCTGCCCCCTTTTGCATTCCTCCCATCACAGCATTCCCAAGAGCAGAGTTTCCACAACAGCCCCCAATGCGTTCAACCCCGACGGCTGTATCACCCTTTAGATGCTTAAGCTGAGCTGCTACGTTTCTGTCTGCCCCGCAAGACTTAGGAGACCCGCTGGCAGCGGGTGGGTGGGAAATGAGAACAGACCACAATTGGGGTGTGCTGCATCCTCCTGCCCTTGACCTTCTGCGGGACATCTTGAGAGCCTCCAATCTAGCCTTTTTCAGGGTGAAACAGACTTAGGGACTTCCTGCCCAGCGTCTCTTTAAACAAAACAAACAAACAAAACCCACGTGCTACTTTCTAAAACGTCTTCCCTGCACAAGATCATCCGTCCTTTTCCCCACCTCCCCAAAAAACCTAAGTTTTGCCCAACTTAGATGGGCCCCGTTTCTTATAGTCTTCTCCACCCTTACAGGAACCAGGCCTGGCTAATTTAGGGAAGAGATGGACCAGGGGAGACAGGAGAGCAGTGTTCCAATATTTGAGGGGTGCCACAGAGAGGAGGAAGGGGTCAAGCTGTAGGCCAGACAAGGAACAATGGATGGAAACTGAACAAGGAGAGATTCAACCTGGAAATAAGGAGAAACTTTCTGACAGTGAGAACAATCAACCCATGGAACAGAAGTTGCCTTCGGAAGTTGTGGGAGCTTCATCACTTGAGACTTTCAAGAAGAGATTGGACTCCCATCTGTCAGACATGGTGTAGGGTCTTCCGCTTGGGCAGGGGGTTGGACTCGATGACCTACAAGGTCCCTTCCAACTCTGATTATCTGTTTATCTGTTTACCCTCCATCCTGAGCCAAGGTTACGACCTCTTGTTTGAACCTTACCCTTTCTTTAAATAGTGGCAGCTGCAATGGGCAGGAAGATGAAGTCCCATCGCTCAACCGTCCATAGGGGAAAACAACCCCCCCCCCCCCCCCCCCAGCCAAGAATGGACAAGCTACTATTCAGATCGTGTCTTCTTTTGGTCAGTGGCCTCCTGCGATGGCACTTCCCTCCTCCCTCTTGCTGAGCTCAGCTAATAAGATGGGCGGTTGTAAACGCAACCAGAGGGAGGTTGCAAACGCAACCGGAACAGGCATGGAAGCTCTTTCGATGCATGCAATATGCTCTATAAGTCGTTTCGTTGCAACTGCATTTTGCCTTGAAGGAACCTTCTCACCAAAGACCTCTAGCTTGGGCTTTAGCACTTGCAAAGCAAAACATCCCCCGGGCTGTAAAAGAATTTGCCCTGTGCTCTTCTTGTTTTGCACTTCTGTGTGTGTGTGTGTGTGTGTGTGTTGGGCCACGGGGAGGAGCTGCGCAGAAGCCTGGTGTGGCAGCTCCCATCTGTGTTATTATTATTTTTTTCCAGGTGGCTTTCCTTTGTAAAGAACACTAATTTATGCCAGCTAGGGATGCCTACTTGCTTAAACCCTTGTTGGTAACTCGGTTACCAGTGTGTGTTTCTGTAAAGGTTTGTTCTATGTAAATATAGCTTTATAATAAAGAGATACGAAAGAAATATAAACCTTATCATGATTATTATTTGTTGCAATCATAAGATGGTCTTTGTTTTCTCTTCTCTTCTCTTCTCTTCTCTTCTCTTCCCTTCTCTTCTCTTCTCTTCTCTTCTCTTCTCTTCTCTTCTCTTCTCTTCTCTTCTCTTCTCTTCTCTTCTCTTTTCTTCTCTTCTTTCATTTTTCTTCACTTCTCTCCTCCTCTTCCATCCCCTTCCTCTTTTCTGTCCCCTCCCTTCCTCTCTGCCTTTATTTTCAATCCTTTCCTATCTTCCCCACCCCACCCTTCTCTCTTCTCTTCTCTTCTCCTCTTTCCTTCCCCTCTTCCACTCCCTTCTGCCTTTATTTCCAATCCTTTCCTATCCTCCCTTCTCCCTTCTCGTCTCCTCTGCTTTTATTTCCAATCCTATAGTATCCTCCCTTCTTTTCTCTTTATCAGAGGGGTGCAGGATGCACTGGGGCTGTTCTAAAGATTTCCCCATCTCTGTCTGGAAGACCTCACTTCACATGGAAACCCACAGCCGCTGCTTCGCACACCACCCTCTATATCTGTGATGCTACCTTGCTGATTTGTGATGCTACCTTGCTGCTGTCACGGAGTGCCACTTTTGGCCAACCCTGTTGGGTAGCCCGTGAGCTGTGTTACAGGCAATAAATATCGGTTGTCCTCGACTTGAGAGTCCATCCGGTTAGCAACCCATTCGAAGGCACAACGGCACTGAAAAAAAGGGACTTACAACAGGTCCTCGCCCTTACAACCGTTGCATCTCCCCAGGCTCGGCAATCAGCATGTATTTGAAACAGTTGCAGCATCCCAGGGTGATGGGATCACAACTTGTGACCTTTCCAGCAGGTACCTCCAAGCAGAGGTGGGGAGACTGGATTCGCTTAACGACCATGTGATTCAGGTGCAGGGATTCATTTAACAACCAAGGCAGAAAGAGTTGTAAAATCTGGGGCTACTCACTTGCTTATGAATGGAAATGCTGGTCTCAAATTCTGGACTACCTGTAAAATAATAATTCTCCTTTTCCTCCTCCCCTTCTCCTTCTTCTTCTTCTTCCTCCTCCTCTTCCTTCCTCCTCTTTCTTTCTTTCTTTCTTTCTTTCTTTCTTTCTTTCTTTCTTTCTTTCTTTCTTTCTTTCTTTCTTTCTTTC